GTCCCCCTCCCTACAGGAAGCCACGACCACGTGTGTCAGCAGGGAAAATGGCCGCGGATCCTGTTCATCACCTGATGCGAAGTTTGTGAACGGAAGCAAAATTTTGCGAACGGTGCTGTTCGTGACCCGAATTGGTCATGAACAGAAGCGTTCGTGACCCGAGGTACCACTGTATTGCTTCTCTTAGTAATAGCTGCTAAGAGACATGAATAGGGCTCCTAGAGTTGAGCTGCAAATATCTGAATGACCACTAGATGATGCCGAGAAGCAAGAGGTTTCTGTAGTTCTGTCTCTCTTTACTGTGATCTCGCAGCGGTCCAGATTTTTGCAAACCCTGTAGTGAGGGATGGAAGATTTCTTTCAGTGCACTTTTGTGCTTTTAACCAACTCATTCTGGAAATATATGACCAGAGACAATGTTTGAACCTGACCCTTGTATCCAAGTTATGCAATTCAAGTTGTTTGTGGAGCACAGAGGGCAGAATAAGTTAAGATGGCTCTGTTCACAGCTGTGTGATATTTGCACAGGGTTCCCCACCCTTTCATTGATAGCTACTGATTTTTTTAGTACTGGTATCTTCCACCTCACTCAAAATTCCTCAGCAGCAATAGAGGGCACCCGGTTAAAGAGGCTGATCCTAAATATTTATTTCAGGGTTTTGGATGTTTAAATGTTACGCACAGTAAAAGATTTCTTGACTCAAACCATCCTAAATAAATAAATAATCTTTCCTTATTTTAAGGATGAGTTTTGCTTTTCTGTTTTAAACCAAATGCAGTGCTGATATACCCCAATTCCAGGCCAATTCATATGGATCCACAAATCTTACACATTTCTAGGTATCAGTGTAATTTCCAAAATAAATAGTTCATTCATGCCAGCCCCATTTAGGCTTCCCTTTCCCTGCCAAGTGCAGGCTTTAAAAACATGGTGTTTTAATTGGGAATGATAATCAGCTACATTGAAGCTTTTCTTCTTTTTTCTAGAGTTTAGTTAGAAAATATGTTATGGAATAATAATTTGAGTAGCAGTCCACGTGATATTTCAAATAATGGAAGTCACTGGCACAGGACCTCAATAAGTGGTTATATTCATCCCCAAATTCTCCAATACCTTTACTACATGGAATAAGAATAGAGTATGAAACTGCTTTGGAGCTCTCATCCAATGTTGTTTATTGGCACAAAACTACAACAGCGCCCGTTTCCTCTCTTTAACATCTTCTCTCCCAGTACACCTCAGTAACAATGCCTCCTGATCCTCCATTAACCCCTATCCCATGAATATGCTAGACCAGTATTTCTCAATCTTGGTGACCTGAAGATGTGTGGACTTCAATTCCCAGAATTCCCCAGCCAGCCATGCTGGCTAGGGAATTTTGGGAATTGAAGTCCACACATCCTCAAGTCACCAAAGTTGAGAAACCCTGTGCTAGACATTATGTTTCTCCCTCATTGTACACACAACCTCCCCCAACTCCAGGTCAGTTTTGTTCCTCCTGTTTGTACACAAACAGGAACCTGAGTTGATGTGAAACCAAGATCATACACATTGCATGCCCATGCAGCATGAGAACAAAGGGAGCTCTTTTCTAGTCCAACCACTTTTCTCATTTCTGTCAGGGCACATCAAGAACTTTGTCACAGTGAGGGCTAAATCCAGAATATTCATATATTCAGCAAAATGGACAAGTAACATCTTTTTCAGACTATACTATTATCTCAGAAAGGGAAAGGATTTGTTTGCATATTTAAATGCTCCCTTACAAGGCAATCAGAAACAAAAATCAAACTTCTTGCATGTAGTAAATTAACAAGTTAGAGAAAAGGGTTCCTTCTAGGTTTTTTGGTGACATGTTTCTTTACCCTTAGAGAGGACCAATCAGACATGTACCTTCACCACAACCCACTCGAAGCATAAGTTATCCAGTCCAGGAAAAGCTTTACAAGTGGATTCTGGTGCATTGTTACTAGATATGTAAGAATTTTCATATATGCATATGGCCTTCATTTGAGACAGATGGCAGATTGCTCTCTTATATTCAACCACTTCAAATTGGAGAAGGGCACTACGTGGAAGAAAATGCAGATTGCCCTTTGCATATAGTAAAACCTGGGAATATTGCTATCAGTTTTATGAGGATAGAAAACTCTTGTTCAGTTTAACTCTGAAGCAGTTAGACGTTGGGTATTTGTATTATATTCCATACTTAAGGTGCTTCTAGGTGAAGTTTTCATTGTGCAGTACAGCTGCTTTATTCCCAGAATGCCTGATAGCACCATTAATGGGAAAACAGAAGAGATTTCAGGAAAATGAACAGAATTATATTCTTTCCCTGACCTGTCTGCATTGTCTTTTTCAAGCACTTCAGAAGCACTTGAAACTATGGAATTTTCAGTTCCA